TTAGAAAGGAGCTCGACTAGAGACAGGAAGAGAAACCAGGTAGAAGTGTACAGTTGTATGAATGAAATGCTGAGGACTTTTAACCAAAACAGCCATGATGATGGTCTAGTGAGTGGCAGATGGGAGGTGTTAAGGAGATGAGAACGACAGTATTTGGTTACTGGTTGGAGTGGGAAGAGGGAAAAGGAAATGGTCAGTGATGGCCTCAAATGGAGGAAGGAGACGACGGACGGGGGGGATAATTCAGTTTGATGTGTAACATGTTGAGTTTGAGATTCCTGAGGGATGGCCCATGAATAACTTGACAGCTCTCAGTACTCCTAGCTGTGTCACAATGAGCAAGTCAAATAGCATCTCTGTGCTTGTTTCCTGCACTACAAATGGGGATATGGGAACATGGGAACATGAGCAGGTTTAATTAAATGAACATTTAACACGTGTGTTCAGAATAAGAATTTAGAAGAATTAATACAAAGTTTTTAGACTAGCCCCTAGCATAGAGTAATTGCTCAGTAGTGTATGTCTAGTATGTCTTTCTGCCACCCACAAAAGCTTCTCAAAACTCCTTGTAGGTTCTGAGGGGCCCAGAGATGCTAAAATGGTTTTTATCCCTCCATGGCATCTTTATTCTTTAAATTCCACTCCCTCAGCTCTTCCAGAGGCAGGTAAACTGAGGGTCTGAGAGTTGATTGTCGCCCTGGGAATCTTTTCTCCACTGCCCGCCATGACGAAGCCCAAGCAACCACCTACCTGGGCTTGGGGACCTGTTCCCACACCCCAGCCCCAAATCTGATGTGCACCTCACCATTGCCGTCTGCAGCTCTGCTGTCAGGGCTCATTCAAAGGGTGAGCCTCAGAGGTCCTCTGAGGGACTAAGGTGGTCCCATAAGATGATGCTGGGATGTCACAAGAAATGCTCTCATAGTATCCCCTGAAAACTGCAAGGGCTGATTGAATTATCTCCCCCAGGAAAACAGGAATTCACCTTTGGGATGTCTCCGAATAAAGGAATTCTTTGTGATGGGTTAATTCATAAAAAAATTTATTGTATGTCTAGTGAAGATATATGTAAAGATTGGTCTTGAGCGAGCAGACATAGCTTCAGATATAGATTTGGGAATCACCAGAATAGGGATGGTAGTTGAATTAACAGGATTGAATGATTTCACCCAAATACTCCATGTAAAATTAAAAAGAAAGCCAAGGACTTGAAACACTAAGGAGTGTCAGATTCAAATTTCTAAAAAAAAAAAAGAACTAACTTTTTTTCAGTAGTATAATGGTAAACGTTTAACAACTGGCATTCCAAAAAGGAGAAAGAAACCTCACCCTGTCATTAGCATTTCCAATGTGTAAATTCTCCCATCATGGTTGATTTCAAGCCACCAACCTGACATTAGCGAATGGAATGGGAAGAGATGGGAACAGGTGGCTCTTATAATAGTGTGGGCTGACTTCTGCTCTTTCCTCATCCCTAAGGCTCTGTTCTGGGTGCTTTATTGGTGCTGTATAACTCCATTGTCAGCCACGGCTCTGTAAATAAACACCAACCATCAGTCATGACACTGTTCATGTAATACCAGTATGGTGCAGATGGCAGCCTATCTAGTCATTTTTTGGAATTTGTTAAGAAAAACTGAGACATGTACAGTAGGTTGTTAGGTCTCTGTGGTCATGGTTTGTTATGAATTTAAGTAGACATTTTAAAGTTACCTATTCCTGGGATAAATTGTGTTGTGTGTGTGTGTGTGAGGTGGCGGGGTGACGGGGCAGGCACTCCTTCCATCCTCCCCACAACCCCTCCCCCAACTCAACATCAAACAGAGAGTACAGGTTACAATCACTTCTGTGATATATTGTCTCAAATGTCAGTGCCATGAAAAGGACCAATAAGTTCCCTACAGAATAAGAGAAGGCATGTTTCCTTTAAACAAACACGCTTGCAATTATAAGACAGCATTAGAATTACTTGACTAGTTTTTCTGATGAGAGGAGTTGCTGGCATGATTAGATTTTTATTTTTCATTGTTAAGGATATAAGATGAACTGGGAGGTATGAGTTTGACTGGTTAGTGTTCAGTGTTGCCGTTACCTTTCTTCCCATGTTTTCCCCATCTTTACTGAGATACAGTGAACATATAATGTTTTGTAAATTTAAGGTGTACCACCTGGTAATTTGATACATTTATGTACTGCCGAGTGATCAACCACCGTAGCTTCAAGCTAGCACCTTTGTCACTTCACATAATCCCATTTCTTTTTTTGTGGTGAGATATTTGGAATTTATTCTTAGCAAGTTTCAAATGTATAATCTAGTATCGTTAACTAGATCCTCAGAGCTTACTCATCTTACTATTGAATAGAAGTTTGTTCTCTGATTAACATCTCCCTATTTCCCTCCACCCCCTACCTACCAGCCCCTGGTAAACTCCATTCTACTCCCTGTCTCTAGGTTCTTTTGAAAGTCTGTATAGGTGATACCATACAGTATTTGTCTTTCTCTGTGTCTGACTGACTTCACTTAGCATAATCCTCAAGGTCCATCCATGTTGTCCCATCTTACACTGAGGAAAATGGTACTGCTCAGCCAGCCCAATTACAGTGGTGGCGGTCTCAGTGTTGTTATAGCAGCAATGCTGGTAGTGCTTGGGGTGCATCTGCAACTGAGATGATGACAGTCACTGTCTGGTGACTGGTGTGGAGACAGTCCCCTGGTGGGGAGGAAGGACCAATTTTCAGATCTCAAGTTGCCCAGGGCTGGTAGTTGTAAGATCTGGATTTGTTCCATAAGACCAAAGTCATGGTTTTCACAGCCACACAATTTGATTTGTTCTGTGGTTACACCCTGGATATTCACACCTCTGCCAGCTGCTTTACAATTGGATGTTCTCAGGGTGAGAAGGTGGGGTGAGGATGTGGCTGGGTTTGCGTACAGGGGTGTTCTTTTGGGACACTTGGCAGATGCCTGGATGATGGCTGTTGATGACATCCTTCGTGTGTGGTTAGCACCACTGAGTTTAGTCGTTACACTTTCTTTAAAAAAAAATTAATTTATTGGGGTAACATTGATTAATAACATGTACATTTCAGGTGTACAACTTTATAATACAACATTTTGTGCTCCTCACCCACTTTCATTTTCTTATTAGTAGCCCTAGAGAATAAAGATATAAAATGCGTTTTGCGAGCTTCTGGTAATTTTAATCTGCTGGCACAAATCTTGATTTCACTGCTTTCATTTATTTTATTACTGCATATAATTGTCCAGTTATCAAAGAGTTATGAACTCTCAAAATTTTATTGTGAATGCAGTAAAATTCACAACAGAATAATAATTTATGGACAGAAATTACATAAATTAAAATTATAATTTTATAATTTCTGTGCATAAAATTCTTTATGTATACATTTATTTCTATATAAATAAATAACTTTATAGTTTATAATTTCTGCTTGTAAAATTTCTTCTATAAAATGTTTATATTTTATTTAATTATAAGTGGATTTTCTATAATTGTTTTCATACTTTTTAGAGGTGTTAAAATTATTAGTTGGTATTTTTTATTATCTTTAAAATAAGATGAGAAAAATCTAATTTTGAACTCTCATACTTTTTGCCCTAAATTCTTTGTATATAAAAGAGTGCTTAGGGATTTAACATCCACAGCTCACACGTAAGTAATCAACCTTTTAAAGATATTTAATCTCATTCACATACCTATTCATTTATGAAGTTTCAGTTAATGAAGTTTGTATTTTCATATGAAAAATAAATTATAAAAATTTTCTTTGAAGAAAAAGTTTTCGCTCTAATCAGACTTCAGATACTCATTTAGCCACCATTATGTTGTTTAGTGGCAAGAAGAGAGTATGTTTTTTTCTCATAGTAGAAATTTAGTATTCGACATTAAATAGAATGTGGTGAAAGCAGCTATCTTGACAAAACAAAGTTTTTATATCAGGCTTTTAAAATTTCAACAAAATTTAAACATTATTTAGATAAAACAATTATGTTACAAAGACGACTTTTAACAGGATCAGGCCACCCACCGTGTGGACTAGAGAATATGGCATGCAAGCCACCCAGTGAGACTGAGGTAATTTTTTCATCTTTGCTTAAAGTATAGTCACCAGACCAGATAATGTAGAAACTTTTTATGAGCAGTGATCAAACAGCCGAAAACAGTTTATTCTTTTTCTCCCGTTTCCTTGAGGCTAATTAAAATAATTCACGAGTTGAAAAAGTTTGACTATTTTTGAACACAGTAAATTTTGCTTTAGATAAAGCAACTCTTTCATTACAGTGATTATATATATATATATATATATATATATATATATATGTATGTATGTAAATAAATAAAACATGTCTAGTTTGTGTATAATATTATAAGAATTAGCCAATTTAAGAAACATCCATTAATGATGATACGTTAAAGTTTGTCATTTTAGTGCTTATGTAATTTTTTATGCCTGCTACATAGATAAATTTATCAAGAAATACGATTGGTTGTAAAATATTCATTAGAACAACTTTTCTGAAAACTATTCTCCTTATTTTGTTTATTACCACATAATGTAAATATTGAATCCAGGGAATTTTAACTAGTATATGTGTGTGTGCACATGTGTGTATATATGTGTGTTTTAACCTATTATCTGAATTAATGAAGTAACCCAAGAGCCCATAATTGCTATAGAATTTAGAAGAGCAGCTAAAATAAATGTAGGTTCACATTAGAGAATTTATGTGGGCCTGATAAATATGGTTATTTTTAATTAGATACCATTCTTAACATATGAAGACTTAGCAGGCAAAATGGAAATTGTATTTTAGCAACCCATGAAAGACCTCCCATATAGCTAACTTTTGAAAAAGTCTGTTGAGTTTTAATATAAAGCTATAATAGCAGTCTAACATTTTGTTTCTTTTGTCCAGTTACATATTTCCTGAATGAAATCGATTTTTATCTAAGTTTGCTTTTTTCCTTTTACAATAGGAGCAAGCAATACTGCGGACACATTATTTCAAGAAGTGTTAGGTCGAAAGGACAAAGCAGATTCTACTAGAAATGCACTCAATGTGCTCCAGCGATTTAAGTTTCTTTTCAACCTTCCTCTAAATATTGAAAGGAATATCCAAAAGGTAGAATCCATATTTATGTACCTATGGTTATAGATGTCATAAATTTCAAAGAGTTGTTAAGCCTTTTTTTTTCTTAACAAAATGTCTTCATTTACTTTACTGACAGTCTCCAAAATGTTTCTTTATTTTAAAGGGTGATTATGATGTGGTTATTAATGATTATGAAAAGGCCAAGTCACTCTTTGGGAAAACGGAGGTACAAGTTTTCAAGAAATGTAAGATTTGTTTATTGCTTTTAGATCTTCTCTCCTTTTACAGAAAGAATGTGGAATGGCTTCTGCAGAGAATGTTACATGTGTTTTGGTTTTTGTTTATACGGTGCTGTTTTTAAAATGTAAAACAATCACCTCAAAAATAACATTATGGCTTTTCTTACTACGATGTAGTGAAAATGAGCAACCACAACTATAGGATAGGTTAGTCTTGGACATTCTTTGCCACTTATTAACCGTCATGTTATTAAAAAAATTTTCTTACTGGAAAGAATCAATTGTAGATATTTTATGGAAATGGAAATCTATATTTTAATCTTCCTTCTTCAGAAAGTCAATATATTTATGAATTGTAACCCTACGTTAAAGTAAACTGAATAACTTTTGAAATGATCTCTAATGCCAGAGTTGACAGAAAGTAAGAAAAGCCTAAAATGCCCTATGGTAATGCCATATCAACTAGGAGAAATATCACAGGCCTTTATTAAATCTGTAAATCCCAACTCCATAAGGACTGGGAAAACTTAATTTTATTTTTATTGTAGTAAATTTACATTTAGTGAAATGCACAGACCAAACCACATACCCACATAACTCACACCCTAGATAGAATGGTTTCATATCTCCAGAAAGTTCCCTTGAGCCCCTTCTCAGTCAGCCCCTGAAACCCTCAAGGCAACCACTGCTCTGCTTTGCATAATTTGATTTTAAATTTCCATTCTTTAAATCTTGTATATTTTTTCATTTTTTTAATAGATTACGCTGAAGTAGAAACACGGATTGAAGCTTTAAGAGAATTGCTTCTGGATAAATTGCTTGAGACACCATCAACCTTACATGACCAAAAACGTTATATAAGGTATACCTCCTGTAAGAATTTTCACAAATCACATATATCTGTATAGTACTGGATACTTCATTTAACTCTTAAAGCTAATTTGGGGGAAATTAGGAGACTGATGAAATGGTGAAAGGGAAGACACTTAGGAGTACCTCGTGTAGGGCACCAGAATTCTTTTGTGTACTAATAAATTGACAAGTACTCACTCTCTAAAGGCAAGAAAACCCTGCCCATTTGGGGAAAGGAAAAGTAGCCTCATTGCTTAGTCATCTCTTTCTCCTGCTCGACATGGGCTTGCCTAACCTAGCGGGATGTATGGGTCTTGCACCCTGTGGGCACCCACAGGCCACAAGACAGGGGCTCCCTGTATGGTCTGGAGTGCAACATTGTCATACACTGTGTGGAAAATTCTTCATGACACAAGAGTGGGCCCTTCCTTAGCAGTAGAGGAAATTCTGAAAGATTTTAGTCTTGAAAAGAAAGTGGAAAACTTTAAAAAAAAAAAAAGCATAATATTGAAAGTGGTGGACATCACAGGGCATGAAGAGGAGGCCTTAGAAGGATGTAGTATAGCATAATGGGAACTAGCTGTGCACTTTGGCTGACTTACTTGAGTTTTTTTTTCAGTTTATTCATCTGTGACATGGACATGCTAACACAATCTATGTCTCAGGGTAGTTGCAAAGATAATGAAGGGTACATTTAAGAATTTAAGGGCCAGCCGAGTGGTGCATTGGTTAGGAGTTGGCTTAGGAGCACCAGCTCTGAGCAGCAGAGCCCCGGTTCAGATCCCACATTAGGGCCAGTGACGCTGCGCCCTCTACACCTAAAATGGTGAACAACAGCTCAACCTGGAGCTGGACTGTCGTGGGTCACCGGCAATGGAGTAGGCTGCAGTGGGGCTGGCTGGCAGCCGCCATGAGTTGCCGTGAGCCACCGTGAGCGGCCGTCCAATGGCCGGCGAGCGACTGCCTCACCCGGGAAGAGCACAATGATAATACCAACATGGGCCAGTGAAGCAATGTCCTCCACAACTAGACTGAAGAACAAAAGGACAGCAACTTGTCTGTTCCCCCTCCATGATTCCCCAATGCTGTTCCCCTCCCCCAATTCCCCAATAAAATCTTAAAAAAAAAAAAAGAATTTAATATAGAACCTGACACATAATAAGTAGTCAATAAATTACATGAATATACCAGGGGTGCCAAAAAATGTATACACATAACTTGTATTCATCTTTTGTTATCGGTATATATTGAGTATTATAATTTTAGTGCATTTTTTTCTTTCTTAAAAAAATTTTTTGGCACCCTCTGTATATAGTGTTAAATATATATGGTGTTTATATCAGGATTTGGAGACAGCATATAAATTATAAACTTTTTATATCTATAACTTAAAAATATTAACTTTATTTTTTGCTGGCATATATTAAATGTGACCTTTGTTCTTAGAATAAGCTGCTTTTTCAAACTTAATACCCTCACTCTTTAATTAGTGAAGTTTATTGAATATTCAGTAGTTATAAAATGATAACAGAATACATATGTTTATGCATTTGGCTGTTGTCAGTCTGTGACCACTAAAAATAGGTCTGGTCTGAAAGCTGTGTGTTTGCACTTGTGGACCTGTGTTCCTGGGGATACAGGAGCACAGTGAGAGCAGACCAGCACATTGGTGTTGCAGCACAGGAAGTCCAGAAGAGAGCACCAAATCGATGCTGCCACTGGAGCCTCTGCAATGTGCCGGGCGGGCGCTGTGCTGGACACACTGTGTGCATCATGTCCACCCCCAGCCCCCAGGCAGGGTGTCTGTGTTACACTCCTGACACAGCTGAGGAGCCTGAAGCTCAGGTTTACTGCTTGTCAGTGCACACAGCTAGTAGGAGGTCTCATTTGCTTGCTTTCAGAGTCTGCCTCTGCTTTTCTCTAACTGCCTTCATAAGAAAGACTGAATTGGGGGATTTTTCTGGCTTGTAGAACTGTAGAATTTTAAAGCTGGCAACAAACTACACGTTAGTTATCTGCTTTAAAAAAAAAACCCAAAAAAAAAACATAAGAAACTGAGTCCAGGAATGTTAATCATCTTGTATGGGAAATAGTTGGTTAGCATTTTGTCTGTGTTCCAATAATTGTGCTTTGTATTTATTTCCCTGTTGACAATTATGCTATTAAATTTGCTGATAGTAATATGATAAACCTTGAGTATGATTTCTTTAGGTGGTGAATTACCATTTATATAAGATAACTAATGCGCAGTTTTTATGATTAGTTAACCTACTGGATATCATTTAAAAGATGGTGTTAAAAAAGATTCTTTTAAATGGCCTGTTTAAATGCATTTTTTCCTGTTATTTTAAAGGAAAAAGAACATCAATAAAAATATCTGATAGTTTACTCATTTTTTTAATCATTATTTTATTTTTGATGCTTTGAGAAGACACTGAGCAATTCGATTATCCTTTGTAAATTAAGTTTTTAGTTATTAATAAATAGGAAAAATAACATCACAGCCAGATCAGCTATCTGTAGGGCTTGGGAATCTACGATGACAAGTGCTATGAGCACCACATTGGGGTAGAAACAGACAAAAAACACTTCTGTCGGTTCTCTTACATAATTGAAGTTATGCATGGTACAAGTGAAAATCAGGTTACTACTGTATTGTCTTACTTTTGTTCTCTATTTTATCTAATTAAAAACTTTTTATTTTTCACCCTCCTTATTCTGTCTTGATTCTCATAGCTTTAGCAAGAAGCAAAATTCCCTATACCTCTTTCCATGTCAGTGTGATCCTATCCCTGGTGATTGTTAAAAATCATGTCACAATATGGCTAAAAACTTTAATTCTTGAAAATGTTGAACCAGTGCTAATCAGTATTAAAATAAATATTAACATATTTTAACTCTTTTCCTTTAAAGTCTTTTAAAAATGTTCTTCAGTATGCAGTTTTAAAAGAAATGGCAATAACATGTATCATATTCTAAACAAATATCTTTGAAATGAAACTACGACTAGAGTTTTTAAGCTGCTTACTAAAAAAAAGAAGAAACTTACTGGATTAAGTCATTTAACCAAGAAAAAGAAAGCCTAGCACAGGTTGTACCTTTGAATTGAAACACTAGAATTTCTGAGAAAACATATTTATCTTTTTTTATAAAACTCTTTTAATGTAATGCCCATTAATAAGACAATAGAAAGGATTATTATTACATTTTTCAAGAACCTAGTCACCATACTAAGGAGACTTAAAATTTTAAGTTACTAAGCAAAAAAAGCTTATTGATTTCTCTTGCTGTACTGCTTGAGAAAGAGCCCTTGTAATGAATTATCTATGTTCCTATTCAGTAGTTTAAGAATTAAAAGGAAACAGCTTTCCCGAAAGAATATTCCTGTAATGAGTGAAAGTGTTAGGAGGAAGTGTTGCAGAGGTATTTGGAGGCAAAACAACCTTTCTAAGGAGAATGCTAAGACAAATTCTCCCCAGCAAGAAAGATTAAAATCATATTTTTGGAGAAATGACACAACGTCGTATTTATATTTCAGTTCATAAAAGAGGAAAGCCTTGTGAGAAAGGAAGCATCTGATTGGGTTTGAAAGCTTTGAAATGAATTATTTATGCCAAGCTAAATGTCATTTGTTAGACTGTAGTTTTTTTCTTGGGATGCTGTTAATTGATTTGTCACTTTCTTAGTACAGACACAGCTTATTTGCAGCCTGTAAATAGAAGGTCACAGGCAAGAGGAGCAGGGCGAACTTTTAGGGCTGTCTGGGGGTCAGCCCCGTGCAGCATGAGCCGTGTTGTTTCAGGGGCCCATTTGCAGGATAATCAAATGCCCAGCTCTCCTCAGAAACCAGAACTTCTCCATTAGCCTGTGAAGGTCAGGGTCAGGGTGGATAGTTCCTAAATGTGATGTCAGATTTCTGCTCAACGTTTCGTTTATTGCTAACTTACTACAAAATGTTTCTCCTCTAATTAGCTGCTAATTTGAGATAAGTAAGGAAATACCCAGTGGTGGAGAAACATGGGAGAGAAGCATAAGGTGATCCACTGAGTGATTAAGATTTGGCTAGAGGTCACAGCTTGTAACCATTAATTAAAATTTACCATTGAACAAAATCTTTAACCCCAAGACAACAGGCAGCTGATGGCTTAAGAATAATTTTAAGGCAATAATTCAGCTTTTGGGTCTATTTATATTTTGATTTAACTTGTTCTATTTATATATTTTGTGAGGGTCGAGCGCCAAATCTTGACTAACATTTGGGAGACATTTTTCAACTGAAACTTATTTCAGTTGTCTATCTGGGTTTAGATATTTTATTTACAAAGAAGACTTAAATATTTTAAGACCTACATTTAAACTACGTAAAATGCCATCTATGCTGTATTTTCTAGAAAAATATTTTCTCAGTCATGAATTAGAGTTTAGACTTCAGAGGTGAGCATTTGTTGTCACCAAATCTCTTCATGTGATGAAATGGCCTTAAGTTTCAGTTGCCCCTTGTTTTGATTACTTAGAAAGCAGTGTCACACTGCCATCTAGTGGCCGTATTTCAGACTACAAAGGAATTTTTAAAAATCTGCAATTTAAAAAATGTTCACCAGGTGTCCTCTGCTGGCTCCCACCTGTGTTTCCTGTAATGACAGAACTAAGTAGAAACACTGTGAACTGAATGTAAATACATGTGAAGGTAATTTCTCACTAGATATATAGGATCATCGTAAGTTGTCTTTGTCTTCTTGGGTCTTTTTATCAAGTCCTAATTTAAAAAAAAATACAGCTTTATTTGTTAACTGCATAAAGAGAAATTTGAATATATTTCATTTAGAACTGATTATTAGAAGCTAATGTTGACAACTGCTTTACTAATTGATAAAATTTTTTTTTTTTAAAGTGATGATTCTGAAGTATGCTAACTGTCCTTCTTTCCTTCCTTGGGCTGCATAGAGGAAGTGTCCATGGTCAACTCTGGCTTGCTGTTTCAGGTACCTGTCTGACCTTCACGCGCCGGGCGACCCTGCATGGCAGTGCATCGGAGCGCAGCACAGCTGGATCCTACAGCGCATGCACAGCTGCAAAGAGGCCTGCGTGCAAGACCTGAAAGGCAAGGCTGCTCCTCTTCATGCGTTATGCCAGGCCTGTAGTCACGTTGACAAATAACGAAAGGATGAGTTAATTTTCCTGGTATCTGTATCTCTGCATTAGACCTGAGTAACAGAATAGGAATGGAGAAAACACTTTAAATATGCCTGTTGTTATGGTTGACTGGTAGTATTGACAACGATTTGGTTTAGAAAACAGTGAAACTTCTGTGGGAAGCAACATGATGTTAGAATTGATACTGGTCCTTGATGAATGCTGGTAGTCCACTCATTATTTTATCAAATATATCCTGGGCCCACTATGTACAGGAAGACAGTGGTAAGTAAAACAGACATGGTCCCTGCCCACATGGACTCAAATACCTAACTAACCAAACACAAAGTTGTGACAAGTGACATAACGGTACTCTGAGGGAGGAGAATGGAGGAGAGTGCTTTAGATGGCTGACTTGGGAAGGTGTCTCAGAGAATGCCCCATATGAACTAGGAGCTGGAAGGACGTAAGGTGGCCTGCTGCGTCCACTCCAGCCTGAAAAAGGAACAGCCTTTGCAAAGGTCCTGAGGTAAGTGTGAAGAAAGAAGTTCTGCTGCATTCATTCTCATGTGTGTCAGCTTTTACTTATACAATGCTGTCACCCACAGACAGTGAATGTCCTCAGTGCTGGCTGTGTGCCAGCCACTGGTGGGTGTTCAGGGCTCCGGGGTCAGTGCGGTGGGCAAGAGCCTGCTCACCTGAGGCTTACAGAGTAGCGGGGGAGATGGATAGGGAAAGTGACCTGAAGAGTACAGTGTGCTACTGCTTCAGCCTGGCAAGTTCCTGGTGCCATGGTAGCACATAGGGACAGCATTTGGTCCAGAACTTTGAGGTCCCAGAAGTTGACACTCCAGGATTTGAATAGAATGACAAGTGTTGAGGTCTGCAGGGTCTCTGTACTAGCCAGTTGATACAGAGGTAGGGAAGAGGAAAGAGATAAAAACTGTTCCAGGAGAGAAAGTTGAATGTGTGCTGGGTTTTAAGCAAGAGAAGGCCATTGAACTCTGTGTGCCGGAGCTTGGAGGGTGATCCAGCTGGCTTGTTGGGGGGTGCGGGGTCCCGGGGGGCTCTGCCAGCTGCTGTAAGGGGTTTGGACTCCATCTAGGGTGTTGGGGGAGACAGGGTCTGAAACAAGGGAAAGACCCAATGACACTTATTTTTTAAAAGACAACCTTTCATCTTGTGTGTGAGCCAAATAAGTTAGACAGAAAAAGTTGAGAACCATATGATTTCACTGATATGTTAATAATATTAACCCACCTTCTTTTTTCTGTAGGCTTCTGTTTTTCTACCATGTTTTGATCTGTTGAGGAATAGTCAGGGTGGCTCACACTGACCAAAATGTCCTAATGCTAAGCGAAATAAGTCAGACGGAAAAAGTAGAGACCCATATGATTTCACTGATATGTGGTATATAAAACTGAAAACAACAAAAGAACAAGAAAAACAAATGAAGAAACAAAACTCAGACACAGACACCAGAGGGTAAAGGGGGGCAGGGGGTGGTAGATGATGATTCTTTCTTTATAGCAGTTTTGTCATGAATTAGCTGGCTTGGATTTGAGTACTTTCCAGCTGTGATTCTGTTTTTTTTCTAGTCTGGATTTTTAGGAAAACTGAAGTCTCTCTTTTTTGATGCCACATCGAAATTCCTATTAATGTCATTAATTATTTTGTAGTTTTAGCAGTGAAAATGACATCTAATGATATACATAGTCTGTAGTCTCAGGGATATTTAGGGGACTTACATGTTTGTTTATTGAATCTGTTGACGAAAAACATCCAGTCTAAGAGAAAACTTATAAGAGTTTATTTGAGCCAAACTTTTCGACAATTGCCGGGAAGCAAAATCTCAACCGATTGAGAAAATGCTTTGCAAAATGGCGGTTTGCAGCTTATTTTATACATAAAATCAAAGGAGGAAGGTTACATGAAATCCTTTGGTGATAGATGAAGGGGGTGGGGAGAGAGCAAAGCGGGGAAACCTCTGGGATTGGTAAAAGTACATTGGAGAGACAGGTCCTCCTCTCACACAGGTGGGTGCAAGATAGCTAACAGCTTGCTCTTTACAGCACATAGAGATGGTAATCAGGAGATAAGCATGATAATGAGAATTTTGCAGTTTCCAGCTCTGGTCCAGAAAAAGGATTACTGACATTCCTAAGATGTTATCTTAGGTGCAAAAAAACAGAGAGGCCCACTGAAGAGGCACAGACCAACTTGATGAAGGAAGCTAAAGATGTGACTTCCGACCATGGCCCACTTGGTTATGAAAGTTTTTATGCGCACACCATCTTATGTGGTTATTTTCAATCTCCTGAGCTTGTCAGGTTTAACCTGTGGCCTCTTTTCCGTCCACAAATCTAGTCTGTTAGGCAGGACTCTAAACCTTGCCTGCCCATCAGCATCCCCTTGGTTTTTTTTTTTTTAAGATTTTTATTGGGGAATTGGGGGGATGGGAACAGTGCTGGGGAATTGGGGGAAAGGGAACAGACAAGTTGCTGTCGTTTTGTTCTTCAGTCTAGTTGTGGAGGACGTTGCTTCACTGGCCCAAGTTGGCACCATCATTGCGCTCTTCCCGGGCAAGGCAGATCAGTCGCCGGCTTCTGGACGGCCGCTCACTGCGGCTGCTGGCCGCTCCCGCTGGCTGCTGGCTACACTCGGTAGCCCATGGCAACCCACTGCAACAGGGGCTGCAGCCAACACAGTCGCCGGCGCCTCATGGCAGCCCAGCTCCAGGGTGAGCTGTCATTCAGCATCTTAGCTGTGGAGGGCAGTGTCACTGGCCCTCATATGTGGGATCTGAACCGGGGCCCTCTGGTGTCCCAAGCCAGTTCTTAACCATCGCGCCACTCGGCCGGCCCTCCCCTTGGTGTCTTTAAAGACTGTCAGTTCCCATCCTCCACCCCATTCTTACCAATTATATTAGAACTTCTGGCAGTGGAGTCCAGGCATCAGTATTTTTTAAAGCTCCCAGAGGATTCAGGTTCAGCCAGGGTTGATAATCAGGGCCCTAGATTCTGTGCCAGGGACCGGAAGTACAGTGGTGAGCAACACTGACGTGATCTCTTACCTCTCTGACCTTGCAGCCTACTGGGAGAGACATGTGGGAGTGATTTTTAAAAATCACTTAAGTATTTACTTACTACATAAATATAATTGTGAAAAGTGTTACGAAGTGAGGAGTACAGAATTCCACTCCAGTCTAGTAAAGGGGAGATCCAGGGAAGTTTCATCAAAAAGGTGATATTTCCATTGAACCTAAATGACGAATATCGATTATCCAGATAAAGAGGCATGGAGAAGTCCAGATACTAGCGGGTTTTCAATAAATGCCACCTTAGTGTACTCCACTAAGTACACTGCTGATACAAACAGGATACATAACCCAATAAGGGATTTTCCTACTTATGTGTATGAGAAACAATATGACTATATAATTTGGTTTATGAAAATATTTGAATTTCTGAGATATGTGTATATATTATGAGGGCAACATACAGACTATTTCAAGTTGGAAATTTCATGTATCTTATTGTCACATCCATACCTGAAATATCTAATAATCAAGATTATATGGCCAAAGCTCTGAACTTTTCTTGAAGACAAATAAATGGATTTATTTACCTGATGGATTCCTTCCTGTCATCTTGATGTTATGTATTGCTACAGTATTCATCCCGAACTGCTTAAAATCAGCCCTTCTGGAAAAAGATGACAATAGCTTATGTGTAACTGGAGCCGTGCCTTTTGTATTCACCGGCCAAGCTTGTTGCAAAGCCTGCTCAACTGTGAAATAATTAAAAGAATGTACATGAAGTGGATCCATTTGGTAGTGAAGAGCTTTGCCTAAAGTTATTTTCATAAGTTGGTTTTTAATTAGAAAGTAAAAACATAACAATTTACTGCCCTTTGAACTTACTCTACAAATTTCATGAGACTACAATGTAAATTTCCTAAATTTATTGGTCATATATTTATTGGTTACATTTTAAGTTTCCTTTGACATTCAGAAGAACATGCTTAACTGTGCCCTCTTTTGTCAGCAGTTACTAATATAAACAACATGGGTGATTCTAACATGTATGAGCCTTTTAATTGGGCGATTGGTGTGTTCTTCTGAGCTTACATCAGAAGGACCTTTTATTATTTTATTTTCGAGATTTCCAAACATACTTAAAAGCAGAAAGGGTAATATTATAACCTCCCATGTTTCAATAGTTATCAAATCATAGCCAGTTTTATTTTATCTATACTCTCACCTGTTTCTTTCCCCTCCCTTACCCTGAATTATTTTTGAAGCAGATTACATTATTTCAACCAATATAATCCTATAATTAATTCAGTATGTAATTTTCAAAGGTAAAGATGGTTTTTAAAAACTTGAACCAAATACCATTATCATTACCTAAATTATCAATAATTTCTTAATAGCATCAAATGTTTAATTTTCAAATTCAGAAGCAGTTTTCTATCTCCAGGATCTAAGTACTTTAATATCATAGCTTTTTAACCGATACCCAAATGGTATGAAATGTGGTATAGATGTAGACAGAATGTGTTTCTAGAACGGAAACAGCCGTTAGTAAACTTTACATGGTCCACTTTGGCCACTTTGCACCAGATACTTTTCTGGTTGTCATCATTAATACATGTGTGTGTCATTGGACACATGTTAGCTATTTCATATGCACTTATCTACATTTATACAGCTAATGTAATTATATATAGTATAGGTATTTGTGTGTATATATGTATAGGTATATGCAAATATAAACTATTTGCCTTAAATATAAGTTTGCTGAGAATAAGCAGTTTTTCTTTTATGTGATATATAATCAGTTGTTCATAAAGGACTAACTCTTCATTGACATTTATGAGTGTCCTAATTATATATCTTATATATGTAATATGAGGGAAGGGCTCCCAGATATCATTTGGACTTTCTATTGGGCATCCTCTTCATGA